GACTGCGAAGAGACCCAATGTCCATGTTGTCTATTAGACATACCACATGAGGATTTGCCTGCTGCTAGTAAGGTCTGGCGAACATGTGACCAGTGACCATCAATTGTCTCCTGTGAGCGCTTGCTCAACTCGCATGTTAGCGTATTTCGATACGCATTCAGAACAGCTGGTTTTGTCAGTTGGCTGGTGTCAATACGCTCACAGCGTCGTCGTGGGCGTCCGCCAAAACGCATCCGCAGGTCAGCACATACAAGTGCATGATCGGTGTCCACACATGTGCTCCAAATCGAGCGACAATTCTGGATGCAGCCTCTCCAGCGGTAACTTATCGCAGTGTGATCGATCTGCGTGCAAGGCTTGTTCGAGGTTGGTGGGCGCCAAGTCACCCTTCGGCGGGTGCTGTGTCGGAAATTAGTGCTCGAAAGAAATAAGCGAGCATCTTCACACAAATGAAGTAACCGCTCACCGTTATCATTACGGGAGCCTACACCGTGTTGACCGCCCAGATGCAGTTCATCAGTGGACAACTTTCCAACTTGTGCGTTCATATCCCCAGCCAGCACAACAGTGTCCGTGCTTCTTCTGTGGCGAAGGAGCTGAGTCAGTTGGCGGTAGAAGTCATTCTTTACCGAATCATCGTTACAGTTTGTGGGCGCATAGGCAGCGATGATGAATAGACATCTATTAGTCCCGCGCGACTTCGAAGCTTTAAACGAGCCAGCCAATCGGACCGCACACATCCGGCTACTGATTGGAATCCAATCAACCAGAGCAGCTTCAGCCCGGGGACTCAGGGCAATACCGACACCGGCTTGGCCGGTGCTCGAAGCTGCATCGTCACCGGATAGGCGCAAGGAGAAAATACTGCTTGCGTCCCCTGAAGGGGATCGCAGAGTGAGCACAGTGCTCGAGTCTTGCAGGCGAGTCTCTGATAAGCAGCAGATATCGATCGAGAGGGTCTCCAATTTTCGGGCAAGTGCTGCCTGTTGACCGATTTGTAGCAGTGTGCGTACATTGAGGCATGCCAATCTGAAGGAGGATGGAGGGCTCCAAATGGAAGCCAATGAACTGGATTGGACCGCTTGGTTGGACATGGGCTTGTCGACAGGAGAGGAGTGACGCTCCGCGTTCACTTGTGAGTTGAAATTAGAAGGTAAATGCCTAGCAAAGCATGTTGGGGGAGGGCCAAGAATCGGGGGGTTGAAAACTGGGGGGATATAAGTGAAGTTGGAATGGGACGGTAAGAGTGAAAAAGCGTAAGAGGGGGAATAAGAAGACGGGAAGGCTTGAGCAGTAGCATCCAAACCCCTATCCACCCTGCTCGATGCAGCAGATAGTGCACCGTTTATTATCCTCTGCGGTGGCCAGAGCATCAAGAAATTGTTTGAAGGAAAATTCATAGTATTGCGAGGGCAGGATACTGTCAGGTTGCCCAGGCCTAGACAGGAGAACGATTAGGGTTCTCAACCAAAGCCTTTGGTTCAAAAACCTGACCGCAAGGCAGCGGGTTTGGCGTTGGGCTACAAGGAGTCCATTTTAAGGAATAAGGTGCCACCCTCATTCCAACCCCCAACCTGGAGGACCAGGAGGCTGAGTTTGTCTGGCCTCTAACCATTGAACAATCTGGTATGAGTGACTCTGAAGGTGCAAAAGCACCACCCAGCGTAGCTCAATGGATCGCTGAGGCACACAAACCATCGCACCAAGGTAAGGTCCAGCCTCATTGCGATTCCCGAGTATACTCCAGTGTATCCTACGTTTACCCTGAATTCTAATTTCCGGGCAGTGTTTCACCGATATCCAAGCGCCAAAAGTTCGCTAACTCCAATTATCGAAGACTTTGTTTAGTTTCATTCGATAGACCATTTCAAGGGCTTTCGAACGAACTGTCACACGTTCAAATCCAACATTGTCTCAAAGCAAATTCCCTCGGCGCGATTCATAGGCTTAACCACGAAAATTCTCAACTACACCTTCGTGTATTCTTCCCCACGTTCAAGCCGATACGTTCAACTGGCACGCCAGAAAGGACAGTTTGCAAGTACCCAACTACAACGTGAACACTGCGACCTTACCGACAACGTCAGGAACAAAAACTTTTACCATAGAGGGTGAGTCATGTAACTGGTTCGCAACAATTGCTCAACAAGCGCGATGATCACTGTGCCAGAGTCTAAAGACCTACGTGGATCATGTTTGAAACTCGTTAAGGGGGGCATTTTGGGACGTAACGGTTGCAAGTTCTTCCATGCGAGATGCCTCCGAGTTAAACCTGGTCAGGCCAAATTATTAAACAAACCAGACTCGCTGTGGTTCCATCCCACCGAGAAAAAGCGTGCTCCTATTATCTCAGAAGTATGACCAGCTACTAGCCAAATTTGAGGAAATGGTGACCACCAAAATCATTACGGTTGCAGTAAGCATAGCGGACTGTGCAACCCAATTCTTCCCCTTGGTTGCTGCTGCTATCCCGCGAAGAACTGCTGATAACACCGTAAGCAACACGACACCTGGAGTCCGGAACATCAACAATTGTTCCAATAACACGCGTAGCTCACATTTGAATAAGCGGTTCCCAGTTCGATCGGAGTGACTACACGTAAGGCTACTTTCAAAATCCCGACGGTGTGCGTAGGATAAGAGCAAGCCGGTACTAAGGAAAGTTGGGTTACGGTTGCCTTCAAGAAGAGCCATCATTTAGTATTAACCTCACCCCCAATTGGATCGAAAATTGAGGAGCGTAGCGGAGTTTCCTAGTGCAAGCACCACCGCTTTCCTGCGGTACATCTTCGAGTACTTCAATTACTAACCGCGACATGTCGAAAGTTGTAAAAAACAACTACCTTTACTGACGATACTGTGCTCCAATATGCCAGAATCAAAGTCAACACCAATAAGAGGCAGGAGGTTGGATGACCTTCAACCACTGGGATATTATTAGTAACCTAATCGAACTTGTACTGAAACCTGTACACGTAGTGCGCAATACACGACGCCCCAACTCTAAGCAATCTGGAGAGCCAAGAATTTTGCGCCTTGTACTAAACTCCATCACTGAAGTAGAATCAGTACTACTGTCGACAGGTAGTCTCAGGAATGAAGTCTGGAGAGATTGTGTGTGGCACAATTGCAAGGAAACAGCGTCACAGTCTAGCATTGGATCAGTGACGAATTGAAATACAGGGAATAATAGTTTCAGTAAATGAAGTTCAACGTTAACCAGGATAATGAATCAGTTTGGAGGCAGCCCTCCTAACGGTTACCAAAGAGAGCAGCTGTTTCCATCTCCGATGAACAGTGAGACCACCAAACATTGCGATCTCTGTTCAGGCTAGCACGCAGTTTGGTCTTAAGAATTTTACGAGTCTCACTGTGTTTGCTTCCATTCGGAATGTGTCAACGAGCATTTAGGAGTCTCAGAGGTTGTGTAAAGTCCCAATATCCACTCTGGCAATTAGATTAACTATTTGAAGGCATACTTGTTGCAAATAACGTCTGGTGCATATGCGACCAATGCTCCTTAACTGTGATCAGTAAGCACTAACCCAAACAACATGAAAACCCAGTTTGATATGCATACAGAACATTTAGCTTCACCAATTAACGGATGTCCATGCGCTCAGAGCTTCGACGGGGGCTTCCGCTGAAAAACACCTGCAGCTCGGCACCTACAAATGTATGATGGAAGGCCGCACACGAGCTCCAAATCGAGCGACATTTTTAGACGTAGCCTATACAGCTTTAACTGATCGCACTGTGATCAGTTTGCGTCCATAGCCAGTCCGAGGCTGGTGGGTGCCATATCACTCTCCAGCGTGTGCTGTGTAGGAAGTTAGCGTTCAGAAATAAGGAGCGTCTTCTCACAACTGCAGCAACCGTTTACCGCTATAAACACGAAAGTTTACACCGTACTGGCCGCCCAGATTTAAGTTGTCATTGGACGATTTCTCAACTTGTACATTCATGTCGCTAGCAAGCACTACAATATCGGTGCTTCCTGTGGACAGGAAGCCCGTTCATTTGGTGATGAAAGTCAGCCCTCAGCGAGTCACTGATGCGGTTTGTGGGGCGTTTGAAGCAAAGCCAATCCTACGAACTTGTTCCGCGTGCGACTTCAAAGCTTTATCTCAACTGGACAACCTGACGGAGTACATTCGGCTCTTGATTAGAAACCAATCGATTAGGACAGTTTCAGCCCGTAAACTCACGCTGGCTTAACAGGTGTTCGGAGCTGCGTTGTTTCGAAACAATCGGAATGCAAAAGAGTTGCCAATATCATATTATGTGGATACCTGAGGGTGAGCAAAAATCCCGGAACATGCAGGTAGGTTTTCGCTAAACAGAAGGTATCAAGCAATAAGGTCACTGGTGTTCGGGAAAGTGCGGCATGTTGACCAAGCTGTAAACTTGTGCGCACGTTTAGGGGTCCCAGTTTTAGGGGAATTGAGGGCTGTGAATAGGAATGGACGAACTGACGTTGTCTACTTAGTTCAACATACACTTGTCGACTGGACCAGAGCGAGTCCCTGCTATTGAGTGCGAATCAAAACTAGGAGACGACTGCCTATTGAATCAAGATGTGAGACTGCCGAGGATTGGAGTTGAAAACTGGAGCGGAAATAGTGAAGTTGGAGGGGATAACAGAGATGCCAGCGCGTAAGAGGGTATGAAACCACCGGAAAGCTTGGACAGTAGCGTCCTCACGCCTATCCACCCATCTTGGTGCGGCAGATAAGGCACCGTTGATAATATTTTGCGACGGCCAGAGCATCAAGAGATTGAGGTGAAATTCATTTTATTGCTTTTGCAGGATATTGTAAGGCACCTAAATATTTGCTACTTGAAATAATTTTAATGGTTGTCGTCAGCTAACAATGGACCACACATACAAAAGACCATATAGTTTAGCAGATACGTGGAATGTATAACTTTGTGAGTTAAATCGTGGTCTGACCAAGGTTGCAGCGTAATGACTTTTTACTCTCAATGGTTTAACTTACTCATTTCACGTGTCATGGTTCTCTTCAACGACAAGTTCGCAACAGGTTCTTTTACGGTGCGTATAAGTAACAGCTTTAACTCATGAAACCCTTTTTCAAACGAGTAAGCAGGCCAGTTGACTGTTGCATTCAAGGTGAAACACCGGCCATCGTCTGGTCTGTCGCAATCGTTAGAATTGCGCACAAAAACCTGTGGTTGTAGTAACGGTACAGCGAAGTAATTGACCAGACAGACAATGAGTGAGACGGTGTTCAGGATCAGAACGGCTTGCTCCAGGTACGCCTTATGCATGTACACCGCTGCCTGACTGCCTGAAGCCCCACTGGTAATCGAAGGGAATCTTGACAGCCGAACTGGGTCCAAGCGATCTATTATTCCTCTAATAAACATTGCGAACGGGAAGGAGTTCTATCCTTTTGTCTACGGAAGAATGTGCAAATGCACGCTGCTGGGCTTGCTATAGTTTAATTTCTAATGGATCGATAACCCGAAGTCTGGCTAACTTGACGAGTCTGTGCCCCCCACTGCATTGGAAGTGCTATAAGGTTGAGATGCCAAGAATGTTGTGGATCCGGCCATTTGTATAAGCTAAAATCCCCCATATTAAAATGAACTTTACGCATCCATGCGGACGCAATTTTAACACATTGCACTATCACCATTGAGATAAACCAGTATTTTCCCCTTTACCTGTCACTTTAAAATAATCATTTTATAAGTGTCACTCCGGTTCTTCTATCGGACCTGTAAGGCAATGGTTTTTAGCTAGTTATGAATCACTGTTGGTAATAAGACGTGAGGCAAATTTAAAATGAATACAAATTTACAAACAAAAGAAGTAGGGTTGATTCATTAATCGTTCAAACCGCAGCTACCTATAAATGGCCTATCAGATTCTAAGGAACCACAACCACGTGTGCCCTCAACTAACAGAATTCAGTTACCACATGTTTACTAGTGATCACCGGCTCAAATTGGCCATGCACTGTGGTCTGTCGGAATGTCGGCGTAACGTTTACTTACTGCGCTCACCAAACTAGCTGAGCCACTGTCACAGTTCCTTCAACGTTCCTTCCATGAACACAAGTCCCCACTATGTGGCAGGGTGACATTATTACTCCATGCTAACTATCGCTTATTGACTCTCCTCTCGAAGCTCACGAACGTGATGAAAGCGGTCGTCGCTGAGGCTCTACTGGACTAACTGAGTCCAGGAGAAAGATGTCGAAATAAAAGTACCTTCATAACTTATCCCTTGTATGGCAACTGTAAGAAAATTCGCTTACGCAGTACTTTATTAAACCATGGCCGACGCAACCACAGACATCTTAGTGAAACTCCCTGGTAGTGGCCAAAAGAGGACGCGCTTTACTTTCGTTGGTAAAATGTCTACCAAATAGTACCTTTTTTCTACTATGCCCTCCACAAGTTTAGCTAGGAACATTTCCTTCAAATAATCTGATGCTCTGATTGAGATGTCTACCTTCGCTTCAACAATATCTGCATTGCAGTAAAACAATTATATCATCAGCAAGTCAGAAGGTACCGTGCTCCACAATAAAACGAAGTAGTCATGTTCAAAAGGAGGCAGCTGTACGTTTCATTCGTCCGAAATCCGTATGACTGATGGCGGGCTTCCAAAAAAGGATATTTTCTATGGTTCTACAGCTGCACTAGTTCACCTGTGAAGTTAAACACTTCCAGTTGATGGGGAGAACAGACGAAAGGCAAGCAGCCCTACTGATGACATGTTAATCAAAAGAGCTTGTCAGATTTCTCCGACGAAGTACCAACAACCGCTGCTCATTGATTACTGAACTGGTGGACGAGATCCAGGCGCCAACTGTGGGGTATTTAGCTAGTTTTTCTCGACCTTCTTGAACCTGGGGACTGCCCTATATATACACACATAGATGTAAGGACGACTAAGGCTCTATCTAAAATGGATATTGATCTCCGCAATACCCACCAAACAATAAGTTCTATTCAACCATCCTCCATTCTGGAAGTTGATATCATACCATCATCCGATATAAAACTGAAAGCGTCTGATATGTCACTGCGCCTTTTGAATATGTTTTCTATTTCACAAGGATCAAAGCGCTTTTTAGATCAAAGAAAAACTTCACTTATTATCCTTCACCACTAGTGTGAGGCAAAATCGGAGTTTGGCAATTACAGGACAATCCGTAACACCCATATAAACATCAGATTATACGAGAAATTGGCAAACTGGTGCGATGAAGTTCATCAACTCACAGAAGCTGTTGGTGAAGTCCTAACATGGTTTCCTTGAGCAACGATCGTACACAGCCTGGTAGCCACGTTACTCGAACTACATACCAGTCGCAGTTGATACAAAATGCGTAATATTACTTTGATTCATGGACTGCAGAACACATTCGTTTGGGTGCCTCACAAACGGTTACTGATTAAGATAGCTTCCTTTGAAGTTCAGAACAAATTACTGGTTTGCTAATAGCATATCTGAAAGGGGACACACTCAGAAAGCCACGTTAGGCTACCCTCGCTCTTCCCCGCATCCAATTACCAGCGGGGTTATACGAGGAGTTGTTCTCAGTCCGTTACTTTTCTTTATTTATATCAATGACATCAGTTTGATTAGCAAACGGGAGATGCCGTTCTTAATTGCCGATGATATAAACATTGCCAACAAGTTCCGACTACTTGGGCTTCAGAATGTACTACTACTCATTCAAGAAGACATACATTCACTTGTGACGTAGTGCGACCAGTGGATGATGGGATGCTCAGCACAACTTCAACTATCAAGTGTCGCGGTTGTTTGATTCCCGAAATACCTGTCACACTTAACAGCGTACGCATTTGTGCACAACGACCTACACATGACCTGGGAATCAGCAATCCTTCAACTTTTCTAAACAGATAGCACGAGCGAGACAATCCGTGGCTAACCTATCTCATAAAATGCATGCAATCACAGTCAGCGTTGAACTAGCCTAAGTCCTTACTAGTCCTATCCTGGAGTGCTGTAGCATAATCTGGGACAATAGGAGCAAAGCAGAAAAAACGTCGATAGAAAACCTTCAACAATCATTTACTATGCATGTATTGGGAAAATATCCGATCCTGAACTATCGCAATCAATGCCATCAACTCCATCTCCATCCGCTTTGGATGCAAAGGTTAAAACGTAACTGGAGTCTACTGCACAATCTGATTCATGGCAATACCCATTTTAATCGAGTTAACTTAACATTACAGCACAGTTGCACCCGAGACCTAGGTAACAAAGATCTTATTATGATTATACCACGAGGCAGGACAAATGTGTGGTCTAACTTCCGTCTCACTATATGTGTTTCGCTGTGGAATCTGTTGCCATTCACCATCAGGTAGTGTGAGATAGTGCAATCCTTTCGAAGTAAGTTGGGAAGCTACCTCACCCTGGATACATTAGGTCGTTTTCTTGGGGAAGAGCACTTGACTATCCGTGCAGTGGAAGCCCAGTTAAGGCCCAGTGGGTGTAATGTTCTCGTTTTACGCAAGGTAATTAGCCCTCAGTGTATAAAACACAAGCTGCAAAAGTGTCCCCAACCATCACACAGGACCTAACCATTCGGCATAAATACCTTCCTAGAAATACAAACAAACCTAAGAAGATAAGTTGCTATTGCTCTTGTAAGAGCACGAGATCACTTGTACCTATATGATCTGTGCCAGGATGTATCACAGGTTCTCGCTGGCTGAGAAATATGCTCATTATTATTAATATTATTAATAGTAATATTAGTATTGCCATGAAGCATTTGGTTTTTGCCAATACTAACCTGGGATCTATATGTGCCACTGACATTGTTCCCCTTTTGACTGCTCACATATTCTGTTCCCGCTAGTTTAAAAGGGTGCGGAATTAGAACGTTTAAACCCTGCAGCTCAGATTGTACAGCTTCAGTCTGGCCCACCGTTGCTGACCTCTAGAACTTACACTCATCCTTGTCTGCCTTCCATCAACCCCAATGCGGCAAACTGCTGAGGAGCATGCGCGCAATGCACCACCTGTCCCTCTTTACACGCATACACCTCGCCATGTGCTTACACCCGGTTTCCCATTGGTTAGTGTCCTAAGACCAATGGGAGTGTCACATGATGACGCGTGGAGGCAGTCACACACGGTGAGACTGGGTTTATGGACTTGTTTCCTTGAACGAACAACATGTGACGTTGATCTTGTAACTTGCTAACTTATTAGCGCTCTGCGTTAAGTTGGCAGTAAAATGATACAGAACAGACTGTATTGGCTTGTGCGGCACACAATCAAACGCCTTTTGCCTAACAGCATTGTAATGATTGCCATTTCTCTGTCAATCATAGTCGTCACATGATCGAAGAATCGTAGCTGGCAGGTAAAGCAAGAGCTGTTTGATAGAAAGCTAGGTTATGAGAGATTAAGCTGATTCAGTCTTGTAAGAGATTGAACGATGTTCTTCTTGACTATTCTTTCTAGGGCTTTGGAAGCAGCCGAAGTGTGATTTCTAAGGCGGGACCTTGATGTTTCACTTAGCGGACCACCCTGGTGTTTAGGCATTATAATAGATTGCTTTCACTAATATGGGTACCTGCCGGTAGTGACAGAACTCTTGAGTTGTTTAATAATAATAGAGAGATATTTTCCGCCCAGTTTTATAACAGCTAGGGAGATGCCACCTGGACCTGGACGTGTTGATGGTTATATGGATGCGATGGCACTTTGCGCCTCTCTCAACATCCCAGGAGTATTACGGAGCAGCACATTAGTTCCTTTTAGATGGGGAGAATGAAACACCGAAGTGTTAGGGACAATGTAGAAATCAAAACTAGAGTTGATTGCTTAGCATATGCGGCAGTACATTAAGTTCATTGTTCTCTGAGTGTTAGAGAGCAGACGGGAGGTCCCGTGTCAGCTACTTTACTTCAAAGAGATGTCCGCGCTGTTGTATCACCGTCCAAAGCCAATGTTTCAATTTCTTCTTAGGGTTTGAGTGCCTACTTTTGAGTAAATAAATAAATGTAGCGCATATTCCTCGACGGTCCTAGGCACAGTCCAATTGTTTGGTCTGAGCATCATGTGCCAAGCGATGGCATGGGACGGATAATAGTACTTCGATATTTTTCAGAGCAGTACCCAAACTATTTTGCGGGGCTGATTGATCGGTTGCATCGTTTAAATAGATGTATCAGATGCTAATAATAATAATAAATGTAGCTAAATCTAAACCTTCTAGTAAAGCGATGCGGCTAACCGTTGACTCGCCACCAGGGGACTTACTTCCATGTAGACTAATCCCTCGAACGATTTCACCCGCTCTTCTATGTCTGTTCTGACCATGCGCTGATATGGCTTTAAAGCAGAGTTGTGATCACTAATTCCACTTATCTGTAGGGCTCTTTTTGTGCGTGTATATATATGGACATTTAGACCATATAGTCCGTACAAGTAATCTATATTTTTGAGTCAAACACTTTTATTATTCGTC